GGCACGTCTGGAGCTGACGCTGGACGTGACAGCGTACGGGCCGTCAGCGGCTCTCTGCTGAGCAGGCGGGCGAGAGTCGGGGAACCCGAAAATATTACAGCCGATCAACGGGAAGGGATGGGTATGGGTGATGCTTTGCAGAGTACGGACTTACCTACAAGCTCTGCCGGCTTAAGAAGAAAGTGGTCAACAGAAGAACTTCAAGAATTAATGCTTTGTTACTTTAAAGCAAGATCAATTGGACCAGGATACATAGGCAGGTTACAGAAACTTTTCACAGAAAGAAACCCGAATAACCCTAAAATTCATAAGTTTAACGGAAACACTTTATCAAATCAAGCACGAAGGATCATAAAGCAAAATGTACTATCACAAGAATTACTAAACAGAATACAAAAAGAAGCAGAAGGTATCACACCCGTAGATAACTCAAATTCAAACGACATTGGAGTACAAGATACACAACCTACACTCACACACATTACGGAACAAAATTTACAACATACCATTGAACAAGCTGAAACAATAGATCAGATGACAAGTAATATAGTTGTAAATGATGATCAAGATCCCTTAATCTTGCACTTCCTTCAAATATTAGCGGAAACTAATGAAACCAGACTTGAAGATCGAGTATTTCTACCTAAAGCTAAAATCAATAGGCGTTTCTTAGAAAACCTACACACATTAAATAATTATTTACCTAATCTTTTAATTACTAATAATAGTTTGCGCGAGATAAATAATATAATATATGCCGCGGCTAAAACTCTTATATTAAACAACAATCAAAAACCTTATATCACTAATAATATTATAAAACCAAAATGTGATCCACCATGGAAAAAAAGAATACAAACTAAAATAGATATATTTAGGAAGGAACTAGGACAATTAATAGAAATTGAAAAGGGTCAAAACGCGCAGAATGATGAAAATAAAAGAAAAATTATATACCAAATACAGCATTCGGAATGATAATGATCACAATAATATAACAGAAACTATTAGGCAAAAAGTTAAAGCTTTAGCAGGTAGAATAAAGAGATACGAAGACATTAACACTAGAAAAGCTCAGAATAGATTATTTAATGAAAACGAGCATAGATTCTACAGAAGTTTAGGGTGCAGTAACAACAAAGACATCGAAATACCGAGTAAAGAAGAAGTGGAAGTATTTTGGAACTCAATTTTATCAAACCAAACGCTGTACAATTTGAATGCTAATTGGATAAAAGAAGTAGAAATGCTGTCAAGTGAAATACACAGAGAAGATACACAAGAGATAACAGAAGACCAAGTAAAATTTGCTATCAGAAAACTGTTAAATTGGAAATCACCTGGAATGGATAAAATACAAAATTATTATTTAAAATACCTAACCAGTGTTCATAAATACATAGCTTCATTATTCACTAAGATAGTTTCAGGTACAGAAATAATGGAAGAATGGTTCGTTACGGGACAAGTTATACTGATACCCAAAAATGAAAACACCGAAAACCCAAAGAACTGGAGACCAATAGCATGTTTACCTAGTATGTACAAATTACTTACTTCCATATTGGCCAAAGTATTGTACAGCCATTGCGATAAGAATAACATAATGGCCGTAGAGCAAAGGGGATGTCGCCGTGGTGCCAGGGGATGTAAAGACCATCTAATGGTTATAAGGCCATATTGGAAGATGCACATCAAGCTCAAAAAAACCTGAGTATGGCATGGATTGACTATAAAAAAGCCTTCGATAGTGTATCTCACGAATGGCTTCTTAAAGTACTTGATGTCTATAAATGTCCACTCATCATTAAAAGATTCCTTCAGTTGGTTGGAGGGTGATCATGACAGCCCGTGGATCACATGATTCGGTTACCACGGAACCGATTTATGTTAGGCGTGGAATTTTCCAGGGTGACTCCCTCTCACCATTGTTATTCTGCTTAGCAATTAACCCACTTTCCTGTATACTTAATAAATACGAACTGAAAGGATATAAACTCAAAGACAGTTTCTGGGTCAATCACCTACTATACATGGATGACCTTAAAGTTTATGCAAACGATAAGAGTAATTTGAAAGTACTGTTGGATAGTGTGGAAGTATTTACAAGCGACATAGGAATGCGATTTGGACTAGACAAATGCAAAACAATACACCTGAGTTCTGGGTATAGAAGCAATGCAATAGGAGAAGGTCATGTTTTTTAAGCGGAGAAACTTTTGAGCAACTTGCAATAGCAGATAAATATAAATATTTAGGAATACATGAATCAGGAAAGATAGAACACAGCATCATAAGAGATCAAATAACTAAAGAATATTTTAAAAGAATCAAGAAACTACTGAACACCCACCTTAACTCACGATATTTGATAAAAGGTATTAATACATACGCAGTCCCGGTTTTACTTTACTCATTTGGCATAATAAATTATAAAAATAACGATCTTAAGAAAATAGATATAAAAACAAGGAAATTACTAGCAATTAAAAAGGTACATCAGCAAAAAGCAGAAATAGAAAGGCTATACTTACCTGTAACATAAGGAGGAAGAGGTCTGATAAATATCGAGTACGTGTATAAAGCACACATAGTAAAATATGAACAATATCTGAAAAAAGAAAGCGATTATCTCATTAAAATAATAATGCAACACGACACACATAGAGATAAATATTCAATAATAAAAGAAGCACAAGAGATAGAAAGAGAATTACACTTAACACAAGAAAATACATATACAGATAAAGAGATTAAGATGGCAATAGTTAAAAGACACAATGAACTGTGGCGAAAAAAGCCCTTACATGGACAATTTCCTAAAAAAGTTTTAGATCAGGCCAATATATACATAGAACTTTCATATCAATGGCTTAAAAGGCAACTGGTATTTCCAAGTACAGAGTCATCAATATTTGCAACACAAGACCAGGACATTAATACGCGGCAACATCAACGCGACGTATTAAATGAGCCAGTAGATGGAAAATGTCGTCTGTGTTCCTGTAAAGATGAAACCACACAACACATAATATCCGGATGTGACAAACTAGAAGGGACATATTACGTAAAGCGACATGATAACCTTGTCCAGTACGTCTATTGGTGTCTGGCTAAAAAGAACAAAATAGAAGTTTCTAACCTCTGGTGGCAAGAAACCCTCATCCGACCACAAATTAAGGAAAATGAGTTTGCTAAAATCATGTGGGAAATGCCCGTCCAAACTGATATTACTGTAACACATAATAGGCCTGATTTGATATATGTTGATAAAACAAGTAATAAAACATTCTTAATACATATAACTGTACCATCGGACTATAATATAGGACCTAAGGAAATCGAAAAATTAAGCAAATACCACCTGCTAAAAACTGAAGTCAGTCGTTTGTGGAATACACAAGCAACTGTTATTCACATAGTAATAGGAGCAACGGGAGTGGTAGCTAAAAGTATTAGGAAATACATAGATAAATTAGATAGCCATATTAACATTAGTATCCTTCAAAAACAAGCAGCTATTCACACATCAACTATACTCAATAAAGTGCTAGGGGATACCGTATTTGTACATAATCAACCGGACCATCTACATATACAGGTCACCCAACAGTCATCAAACATGCAGCAGTCACCAAGCACAACGGATACAATAAACACCACAAACACATCGAATATACAACGTTCACTAAACATCCAAGAACAACACATGCAAACCAATCAACCAATCATTAGGCATAACCGACATACAACAATCATTAAATGCACCGAACTCATCTAACACAAATTATAATCCGAATGTACAACAGTCACTAAATTCTCGACAAAAACGAGGACGAGGGAGAAAAAGAATGAGAAAAGACGAACAAAATACAGAAAATACATCTTGAATGACTCTTTTAATTTGCGTAATAATTTTCATTAAATTACATCTCAATATTGGAAAAAAGTACTATACAAAATTACAACATGATATTAATTTAAAACACATTAATGGGGATATATAAAATTTACCTTTTATTCTGTGGGATGCAGGACGGGGTATTTATTAAAACCGACGTAAGTCGAGAAGGTGTCATAATATAATATAATATAAACCCTAAGTACTTTTAGCGAAACAATATTATATTATAATGAAAATCTGTGATTCTAAAAATAATTGTAATATCTTACCTTGGTCAAGTATATATTGGTATCCCTCAGCTCAATATAATGCGGCTATTTTGATATTACAGACAGATCATTTTATTTATACGTTTGATAGGTTTGTCAAATTTTTAGTTTTATTATATTTTATATAAAAAATACTTTGACTACCTATTTCCTTTTTTATTTCATTTTTTATTAACAATAATATATCACTTTAGTTTTGTTACATTTTATATAGAGCATACTTTGACTACCATTTCATTTTCATTTTTTCTTGAGAATAATATGTCATTCTAGTTTTTTTAATATTTTATATAGAATATAGTTTGACTATCTATTTCCTTTTCGTTTTTTTATTAAGAATAATACATTATTTTAGTTTTGTTATATTTAATATAGAATATATTATGATTATCTATTTCTTTTTCATTTTTTATTGAAATATATCATTTTTAATGTCTTTCGGAGTTTCTTTCGCCGCTTCTTCTCTATGCGTGGGAATCCCAAATAACAGGAGATCAGAAAACATTTTGACGTTGACAAACTAAATGTGAATTTTTTACAAGCTTTATTTCATTTCATCACCTCATTACATCCGTGGGTCTCGTAAGACTGTAGGAAATGCTAGAAAGAGCTCGCAGCTTACGATAGATGACAGTTTAACCATTCGTTTACGTCACATGTAAAATACTTCGTAATAATAAATAATTCTATAAAAAAATAATGCAGTGGTTTAGTTTTATCAAGAAGAGTATGTAGACACATTTATATCTTGATAGCAATAAACGTTAACAGACGTTAAATATTATACATTTGAATCTTAAAATAATATATTTTTGTTTAATTTTCAGACGTCTTAGATGCTGCCGACGACGATGAAGAGCCTGAAGAGGAAGATGAACTAGCAGATGAGCTAGGTGCAGAAGAAGATGAAAATAAGAATACGTACTCCTTATCTCGACATAAAATTAAGAAGTTTGGTAAAAAAGCAAAAAAGATGACCAAGTACATGATGCCATTGCTTTTAGCATACAAACTGAAATATTTAGCTCTGGTCCCAGTGACGATTGCAGGACTTGTGTTGTTAGTGGGAGCAACGGGACTTGCCGGATTCTTCTTTGCCCTGTTCGCTGCAGTAATGGGGCTACAGAAATAGGATACTAATATAATAAATAAGGTTGACGAGTGCTCGCAGATGCCATCCCAGATTAGTTAGATAGATAATTTAAATTTTTTTTACAATTTTCACTTATTCAATGAAACAAAGTTTGTGGTTGTGATCTAAAACAAAAGTAATTCAATTGAAAATGACATTTGTTTTCTAGTCCGAGAAATCAATGATAATTTTCACCAAGACCATTATTTTGTTTAATCTGTTCTTAATAATAACTTTGTTCAATCAATGTTGGATGACATATTTGGTGCTACAAAGTTTATAACGGTTATATTTTTTATCGCTATTGTAAATATTTAATATTATTAAGGATTAAATTATTCTAACTTATTTATTTCTAGTTTACGTATGTAACTATTTTACTGGAAAACCGTTTATGTAGTTACCATCAATATTTTTGACTAATATTACAAAAATGTTTAGCAATATAAATATTATTTGATTGGTATTGTGTTTTGCATATTAAAATATTACCTTGATATGAAATACGCCAATATTTTAAAGCCTGTCTCAACCTAAACCGGCGATGGAAATCAACGTCAAAAGTACGACAATGAGGACACGCTAGGACAATGAAATTCCTATTACAATCCTAGTTTAGTAATATCTTTTACCAACTTAAACCCAAAATTTTCCTCTTATAACTCCATGAACCTACATTTTCGTCGCACAACCTATTTACCTATAGGATATCTTGATCTTACTGAAAGATTATTTTGTTCTTTATTAGTTGGTGTTGGAGTTCTCTTTTTCTTATATATATAACAAAATGTCTCAATGGAGTTTCGTAGCCTCTAAGGGTGAAGTATGAAGTTGAAAGCTTTTTTTACAAAACAATGACGGGTTATTCCTGATTACCACCGATTAAAGTTTCATCCTCGCCACTAGACATGGTCACGAGTACACTTTCTCACACAACTGCGGCCACGCCAGCGCCAGCCGCTCTTCTACTGCCCTTCTGCCACCGACCACGTTTCAACCGCGGGCGGTAGGGAGAGCACTGCATCGTAATATTGACACTCCTTTCTTTCTTGTACATCTACACCGCCACCCTGAGAGCACTGCCAGAGACGCAGACGGCAGACGATAGATGCCAATATCCTATCTCCCCCACGCCTCCACTTCCGCTCTGGAGGGCGTGGTGACAGAATAACTATCCCGCCACCCACACGCATCTGGACCAGTCTCAGTAAGCTGACTTAAAGCAGACTTTTCGGGTCAGCCATGTTGATTCCTCTTAGTTCACCGAAGATGGACCGTCAGGTATCGTAAGTTTTAGATAGATAGATAGAAAATTCATTTGCTTAAAAACATGGTACATAAGATGGTCAATGACGTGGAACTGACATGTTTTGCCAAAATTGGCATGCAAAAATTATATGAAATACAGCTAATTACACTAACCTAATGTTACATTTTAAAATTATTTCATTGCTAAGTTATGTACAAACATTATTTTTGAAATCAAATATTATGTACAATTAAATACTTATACAGATCCACTCTATTTGTATTCTTATACAATAAATTGTTCATAAATTATTAATTGACATTATTGTTGCATAAATAATGTTAAATATTATATGAGATTGGTTAAGCTATTATTATTTTAATAATTACACTACAGTATAAATTAATTCATAATTTTAGTACAATAAAATTATAATTTACAAATCTCAGGCCATTATGCAAATATTACCATTTAACTTAATACATTATTTTACATTTTAATAAATAAATAATCAATATGAGTTACTAATTGTTTTTAGAAATAAAATGTGAATATTCATTAATTCCTTATACTAAATTATATTAATATAATAAATTTGACGAATTTTTAATTAATTATGTACATAGGTATTCAGTTATCTCAAAATATTCTGTTACAGTACATAAACATTTATCAATCAGCCATGATTTTAGCGCCTTTATAAAGAGAGGGGAAGATAACTCCCTGATATCAGAGGGAATTTTGTTATAAATTTTAATAGTCAGCAATTTTTTTCAAAAGTTGAACTTTTACGTGATGGAGCCAAAAGGCAGTTAGTGTATCTAGGGCCTAGCCGTGGATTGACCACTTCGAATTTCTGAAACAACCATGGATGATTTTTAATAAAAAACCTATTTCTAAGATGTACAGGCCTGATAACGTCAATAATTTAAATTCTTTAAATAATTGTTGGCAAGTATCGCTTGGTCCCGCTCCTGAAATAGCTCTTACACATTTTTTTTGTATGATAAATGCTTAGCCTTTAACTGGAGAATTTCCCCATAATATAAGATCATATCTCTGTACTGATGCAACATAGCCGTAATATGCGGTTAACGCCGTTTTTTCTCCAGCTGTATATCTTACATGTATACGAATCTGCTCAATTTTGTGCAAATTCTTTGTATATATATATACAACACGTAACATAATTAACGCACTTTGAGAAAGTAGTTTGTTCAGAATCGTTTATTGAATCGATTCCTATCATTTTTAATATAGGTAATTTTTTATCCCAAAAATAATTAAAACTACGTAAATTACAGTCACACTAAATCTGTACAGTCAAAACAAACTGAAATGGACTGTAACTTAAGGCAATAAGACTTTTAAGAGTGCAGCTTTATTTGTATTATTACTAATTCTGTCACTCAATAAAAATAAAGAAAAATGAACTTTATTTCAAGAATGTTAAAGTCATTGAGTTCGTGGATTTGTACTGTGACCACAACATTCTTTCTGAATTAGTATAACTAATTTGATAAATAATCAGTGCATAAAAATGTTTAACTAAAAATTCAGTGTATGTATTATGATTATAACATAATATACTAATTAGGGTGTCTGAGAGTGTGCGTTAATTACGTTACATATTGTATATATATATATATATATATATATATATATATATATATATATATATATATATATATTGTGTGTGTGTGTGTGTGTGTGATTTTACTACCATTACAGCCTAGTAAAGTCCACTGCTGAACATAGGCCTCCCCCATAGATTGCCTCGGTATGGAGGACACTTTCCATAGATGTCACGCTTAGCAAGCGGGTTAGTTTGTTAAACGGGTTGGTAACCGCAGTTTTTTTTATTTTTAGTCGTAATGAGGAAGACACTTCTGTCCAACTCCTGATATGTTTCCTTCTGATGTCTCATATGTGATTAAAATGGAAAATTGTGATCGATGTGATAAATGTAAAAGAAAATTAACAATGCAGTTGATTTGCATGCCCATAAAATACTAACGACGTTTAAATGTTTGTTTTCCATCTCACTGAAAAATGTTTATTATTTTCCTTCCTGTGATTGCATCCGTTGAAATTTTTAAATTGTCCTTCTCATTAAGAGGATGGAAACGATAAGTTTATTTTCAATATCAGCTTTTATAAGTATTAATGAACTATATATATATTATCATTAAATGTGTATATTGCCTACATTCCGCCTGTGGCATCGCTTCCGAGCGGTTGCATCCAGGTAGTCCGCGCTTTCGTTCCTGTACGGTAGTGCTCCCCGCTCTCGCGCCCCCGCTGTCCCGCTCGCGCTGTACAGCGCTGACGCAGTGCTCAGTCCGCCGGCGGCACCGCTCTCGGACGGTCGCCTCCTGGTGGTCCGCGCTCCCGTACAGTACGGTAGTGCTGTCGCGCTCTCACGCGCCTCCGCTGTCCTGCTCACGCGGAACAGCGTCGAGGCTGCCGGTGAGTCACTTTTGTGCTACAGCTCTTACCCCCCTGTCTTCGGGCAGGGAGGTCTGACTGACCTCCGCTTTCATTTTTTTTTTTTTATTTTTCATTTTCATTTTCTATTTTCATTTTCTTTTCATTTTCATTATAATTTTTCATTATAATTTTTCATTATAATTTTTCAATTTTTTTTTTTTTTTTTTTTTTTTTTTTTTTTTTTTTCTGTACTTCTACTATTGCGTGCATAGTGTGTTGTAGTACGTCTCGCGTTCTAGTCCCTGTTCTACCGAGAGCAGGGACCCGACCTCCTCTTTACTAGATTATCTTATCTCAATCAACCCAATATGGCCAACTCCAGTCTTAGTGAGTCCCTAGCCGCCCTCATTACCCAATACGGGTTAAACGACAATGACACGGTCCTCGCCGCCATGGCCACCATCGCCGCCCAGGCTCCCCTCCCTGCCCCTCAGGCACACCGTCCACCGCCAGTACTAGCGGCATACCTCGAAACGAGGAACTCTTTTGCCCCTCTACAGACAGCCCCCTTAGAAATGGAGTACGCATGCTCCGAATCCTCGGCGTCTACCTCTCGGAAGAGGCCCGCCACTACCCGAGGCTCCGGTTCATCGGAGTCCTCTGACTCCGAAGGTACCGATGAATCCAACTTCACCACGGTCACCTCCAAGCGCAACGGAAAGCGCGCTGCGATCAAACGCACCCCCCTACTTCAGCGGCCCCTGCCGCTCCATCAACCTCCGCAGCTCCTGACGCTGCCCCCGTCCCACTGATGTCGTTAGACATCCCTACCCCATCTAAACCAGCCTCTCGCTGTGCCCCAGTGCTGGCGAAGAACCAAGTCCCGCCTCCTGTCTTCCTAAGAGACAAGGCTAAATTCACCCAGCTATCCAAGACCTGCTACGACGCAGGCATCAAATATGACCATGCAGTCAACCTCGCGGAGGCCATTAAAATCATCCCTAGCTCCATCGAGGACTTCCGCTCAATTACCCGGCTATTCACAGCCGAAAGGGTATCCTACCACACGTACGCTCTCCCCGAAGAGCGTAAAGTCAGGGCCGTCATCCGAGGCGTCCCATTTGAGTTCTCCAACGAGGAGATACTTGAGGACCTTAAGTCCCAAGGCTTCCCGGTTGAAGCAGTGCACAAAATGCACAACCGTACGGGCAAGAGGTACAACCTTGCCCTAGTAATCCTGTCCAACGTGCCGGAGGCGAAAGCCATCTTCCGGCAGGTGCGCACAGTGTGCGGCCTGTCAAGGGTGAAGGTTGAGCCCCCA